CTTCCAAAAGGCATCAATCTAACTATAAAGTAATTATACAATTGTTTTCTTAATCATTTTGGCATATTGCCAATTTGTAAATATATACCACCCAAAGAATAATAGGTATTATGAAATGTACCAAAATCATCATAATATAAATCTAGATAAAACTTGAGTATTGGCATATTTTCTGATGAATTAGGTAGTTGTGTAGATTCTGATAGGTGTTTATAGCATAATTTTATTAGATGAAACTTCCATCTGCTATTATATTTGTATAAAATTTTATTTACAAAAAAGTCAATGACAGGTAGTTCAGATTGGTCTTTAAGCCAAACATTAACATAAAATATTAATAATGATCAGTCAATAATAAAAGATTCTAATTCTTCTACTAAATATCTTTTCTTTGGTAAATATAATGAGTTTTGTTTTGAATGTAGATATTGCAGAATTTGTTCATATAAGAATAATCTTTGAATTCAGGACACCATTTTTTTATCATCAATAACAAAAGATCTAATTTGACCAACTTCAATAGAATTTGAAGTTGAATATTGAACAAAATTCCTACAATTAAATGAACCTAAATATATTAAATAAATTATATAGTATAATGAATTATTTGTGACTATGTATAGTGATATTAACTAAAATTTGACTGCAAATAGCATAACAAATATAATATAAACATGAACCTTGTGTGGTAACTAAATTTGGTTGGCCAAAAAGAGGTGATTTGGCCTAAAGATTACCTTCCTATAGTTCTTCACATAATTTTGAAAATACACCTGGTCCAAAATATAATTGTAAACTAAGAGAAAGATTTTTTAAGATATGCTGAAGGTATTCAATTAAAAAAAAATAATAGACTCGAGCAGAATCTTTTGTGGTCAATAGTGTATTCTTGGTATTTATTGGAATAACATGGCTTTGAATTTTTATTAATAGTAATTGCTCACATTGCTTTTTAAGAGTTTGTAAATTAGTGGTTAAATGTTTTGGATCGAATTGAGGATTAATTAAGATTTGTATTAAATCTCAGTAGGCTGCAGTTGCTAAAGTGAAAATAAAATAAAATATTAAGTTTTTTAATACATTCAATATCTCAAAAACTAGCAAATTAACTGCCACAGATGTATTTTATAATAAATATTACAAAATATCTACAAATCATATATTTAGTAGCTCATATAAACATTGTTAAATTTGTAAAATTTTTAAAAAATCCAAATAGGCTTTCTTGATTCCAACTTATATCAGATTTTGTACCATCAAATATTCTAGGCAAATTATCTAAATTGGTTATTAATTTATTTTCTAGGTCTGAGTTGTTGTTAAACTTCCAATTATGTTCTATTTCATGTTCATTGTAATCTGAGTTGTTATTAAATTCCCAATCATATTCCATGTTATCACTAAGCATAGAACTGAAATTTTGATCACTATTACTGAATTGTTGATTATCATTGTCAGTATAAGTTTGGTTGCTAGTAAGCTTAAGTTGTTAAATATTAGTATATTCATAATTAAGTTGTTGATAATTATTACAAGATTTTTTACTAAATTGAAGATTCGTATTATTCAAATTGTAATTTGAATTAGAAAAAGTAAAGTCACTAATATATGTTTTCTTTGAACATAAATGTAAATTATATGATTGATTTAGAGTATTTTTCTTAAATCTATTATGAAGAGAAAACATAATTTTAGAATTCAAGAAAGGTCTAAGGTTTATTTTAAAAAAAATCAAGAAAGTTTGAAGTTTTATTTTTTTAAAAAAAAGTAGAAAAACAATTTTGAATAACAAGAGATCAAAATATTAATTTTATATATATGATTAAAATAATGATCATAATAACATTGATTAAATAATAATCTATTAATTTTTGACTAAATAATAATTTATTATATTGAAAATTAATTGTATATTTTTCAGCAAAAAACAAATTTGGTTTTTGCTAAAAAAAAAAAAAGAGAGAATACAAATATTATAGCAAAAAAAGCATGTGCATAATTTAAATATTATTATTAATAATCTATTAAACAGGAGGAACCATCGATGTTACATAACTAATTCTTCATCCAGTATGCAATATATAAAAAAATTATTTTACAGTACTGCTAGTACATGTTATGATTATAATCCAACATCATTTTTATTATAATAAAATAGTGTTGGATTTAGTGATTTGAAATAATTTGAATGAGCATAATGCAATAAGGGCAAACATAGCATAAGAATTAGTAAGTATGAGATGAATATAGCATACAAGTTAGGGTAAATTCAGGACATAGTGTAAGAGTTTGGTAGATTTACAAAACTTAATATTAGTAGTTTTATAGCAGTTAGTATTAGTTTTTTAATACATATTATATTATATATAGTTATATTCTTAATTTTAAAAGTAATAAAATAAATAAAATAAACTTAAAAATCTATCTCTATAAAAGATGTGATCGTTATATATTCACAAAAAGCATTGTACACATATGATATGTTATCATTAGATGCATCTAGCCAATAGTGCTAAATATTAACTTTATTAAATGATTTTTATTAAGTACATTAGTGTGATTGATGCATAAGCTGAGACAAAATATGCTTCCAGAAACAACAACCATAATGCACTAGGTATCACTGTCATTAGTTAAATTCATGATATGTAGTACCAGCTAGTGGTTTCCTATACTGCATAAAGCAGGCTGGCTTTTGATATGAAGTCTTAAGTTACTACAAAATGGCAGAATTCTGCATGGACTCCAAAAGTGAAGCAGGAGGGTCTAGGTGCAAATTTTACTTCTTGCAACAGTAGAGGCCTGTTGCTTATATTATGCTTATTCTTATATTTCTCTGCTAATAACCTATTATTAGTAATTGCATTGAACTCTAAATTAAGCAGTTAATTAAATTCATTATGCTTATCTGATTTCATATGTTTCTGCCATCTACTTGCTTAGCCAATGTTGCTGCTACCTCTTAGGATTCAACTGGTTTGGTTTTAGAATATTTCTGCTTAGCTAATTTTTTCGATCTGTTGACTCTATGTCAGCTTAAACAAACTGAAATTAAAGTTTAGAACTAGTTTAAAACTGGTAATATATTAATATATCCTGATATGTACATTTATTTAAATAAATTTGATACAAATAAATATATAATTAACAAAAAATGAATTCATTTTGTGTTATATTAAAAAAAATCATTATAGTACTATTTATTCTATTCTTTTTTGATCCAGATTAAAATAACTGGACCCCAAAAATTGATCAATCAAAATAGAAGATACTGTGAATAGTTATTATTTAGTGTTTTTTATTTTGATTGGTCAATTTTTGGGTCAGATTATTTTAACTCAGGTCAAAATAGAACTTCTCTTTATTTTTACTTTAAATTTAACAAAAAACGAGTTCATTTTCTGTTAAATTTAGATAAACTTTTTTTTTTTAATTATTACTATTTATTGCTATATAAAATCTACTAGCAAGTAAGTATAGTATTTATTGTCAATTAGAATCTTATACTGAATAATACTAACTATTTTACTTTAATATAAGTTAGTATAAAGTTAATTACATATTTGTACTCTATTATTAAATTAGAATTTATAATGATCAATCATATTAAATATCAGGAAGTAAATATAAATTCATACATTCAATAAATTTTATATTGAATTTAGTGCTAAAAAGAAATTTATTAGCAGGATATAAGTTTGAATATATGTAGAATTTGTTAATATATTTACAGCATAATAATTAAAAAAATTCCATATTTTGCAAAATTATAGAAAACTTTTTATAAATTAATTTGCAGAATTTGAGACAGCATATTGTATAAATAAATATAATTGAAAAAGCATATACTTTTAGAATGCTATTTGGTATATCATTTAAGATTTTACATGCATCCTGACTGTATCTGTATAGCACTCTATTTCACACAGGTAAGTTATTTCTATTCTTATTTCTAAATTCAAATCTAACTAATTTTTATTAATTTTGTCTTTATATCTATTTATTATTATTTCTATTTGACTTTCTACTTAATTATACTACTTGTATAATATATAAAGACTTCTAAGTGAACACTTTATTGCATAAATAATATAGACCAATTTTATTAGTTAATACAAATTATGCTATTGAAAGAATTATTTAGTATTTTATTGATTGTTCAATTTTTGAAGGGCAGTCTAATGAGAGGGGGGATTATGTTAACCAAATACAAATGGCCTAATTGACCAATATATATTGTATTTAAGTTAAACTCTTCATATGCCTACTTGTCTTATATTTTTTATTTTAATTAATTTAACAAAAAACAAATTCATTTTTTGTCATTTTGATTAAAAGTATTAATTTAATTTTTTAAATTTAACAAAAAATGAATTTGTTTTTTGTTAAAATTTAAAAAAATTAAATAATCAGTAATTTACTAATTTTAACAAAAAACAAATTCATTTTTTGTTAATACATAATCTGTAAGAAGCTTTAATTACACAAATATAATTATACAAATATACCTGATATATATAATTACAAATATATAATTACACAAAATTTTTAATTAAACTTTTTTATACAATTAATATAGTTATGATATTAAGAATTGTATATGTAGTATAAAGTCTAAGTTTAAAATATGCATAAATATAACATATAGTTATATAATTTTATCAGTCAATTTCTTTAAATCTTATCTCATTTTAATATTTATTCTTATTAATTCTTTTTTATATATATATATAAATTCATATGTTTTCTTCTTACTTTTGTTATAAATTGTAAACAAAAAAATTATAGGTAATTTTTTTATTTTAGCAAAAACTGAATTCAGTTTTTGCTAAATTATTTAGTGTTTTGTTTTAATTTAATTATTATAATTAATTATTTTTTTAAATTTTTTTTTAGCATACTATAATAGTAATGTAATGCGATATATATACTTATTGTTCTTGTATCATTCAGATGAACAAATTCAGCTAATTGGATTTACGAGAGATAAGGTTATAATTATGTATTCAGATGAAACCAAAAGATCTTTTAATTTTCAAATTGTAGAATCAAGTGAAGATATGATAGATCTTAAAAGTAAGGCAGCTAACAAACTAGATATGATACTTGAGATTAGTGAAGTGTCTAGTTAAGAAAATGACAAATATAAAGTCAAATTTGATGAACTAAAGGTGTTATTAAACAAAGGTATAAATTAATTAATATAATATTCTATACTATTTATATTTGCTAATATAACTAATTCATTTGTTGTTAAAAAGATGAAATTGAGCAGAATTTAGGTAATGATAATAATCAAAATTCAGAAAAGGAGGACAGCAAAAAAAGTAATGATAAAGAAGAAGATGCTAATATGATAAAAAATGACTACGAAGAGAAAGTTGATGAAATGTATAAAGGAAAGATAGACTATGAAGCTGAAGAGGAAGTTAATGAAATATATAGAGGAGATATTGAAAAGGCAAACCAGATAGATAGGGCAGAATTTGATAGAATAGAGAATAAAAAAACTAGTGTCATAGAAAAAAGAAGAAAGAAAAAAAGTAAATGTGAAACATCAAGAAATAGTGGTATATATATAATAAATAATTAAAAAAAAAATCAAAAAAATCAAGAAAAAAAATTAAATAAAAAAAATTAAATAAAAAATTAAAAAAAAATTAATTAATTAATATACAATTTTTTTTTTTTTTTAGAATTAATGATTAAAACTGCAAAACAAATTTTATTATCATGCAGTTTTGAGTCTACAAGATTTCAATGTATGGCAAAAGAATTTAATTTGAATATTATAAATTGCAGTTTAGCACAAAGTGCAGTAGCATATGGATCCAATTTGAAAAAGACCAAAGTATTTCCTGAAAAGAGAAAAGCAGTATTAAAGAATAAAAATAGACAAATCACTCTTGAACCAGCAAATTATGAAGTAATTAAAGAAGTAGTTAATAATCTTGAATAGCCAAAATTTATATATATAAACTAGGATGATAATAATCTGACAGACATTTTAGGTTTTTATGCTGAATATGAAAATTCTCCCAAAAATGAACTTTTAAATAGTAATAAGCTTAAATCAGCTAATTTATATTGTGAGTTTCTTTTTTTGCAAAATGGATTGCCTGTAGTAGCTTCATTTTTTAATCCCAATTCTGGGATCAAAAAAATGGAGTACTACAGGAATATAATAGATTTTCTGAAAATAGTAATCCAACAAAGAAACTCCATCTATTCAGTCCAATTTGATACCTCATTAATCTGTAAAGCTCTTAAACTGAATCTATTTCAAGAACAAGAAATAACTCTATTAATAGAAGAACAGAAAATACCTCTGTTAATAGAAGAAGCTAAAAATATACAAGATGCAATCTTATTATTAAAAAGGGCATTAGGATTACTATCTAGTCTTAGTGTTAATCATTTTTTAAATTAAAATACTAAAGTATCTAACCAAATATCAATATTCTCAATACTTATGACAATAAGTTACTAATCAATCTATAAGGTTGATATTAGTTTATATCATTTGGAGGTAACAAGATGCATGTTCTTAAGATTCTTATATGAATTTGAAGAAGCCTATACCTTCTTAGAAGGATGAGTTTCAAACTTTGCTACTAGATCTAAAGGCATGAAATTGGCAATGCAAGTGCATTCACTTTTAATCAGTAAAACCTTAATTAAACAACTCTTTGAGATAAACTTAATAAAATCCAATCTGTTCAATATTAAACATATAGCCAATGAAAAAAAAAAAAGAAGTATAGAATCAGATGAAATTTCAATAAACATTTTTGGATTTTCTGGCAAAATTTCATTAAGAAAACTTAACACATTTACTATAGCAGGCCCAAGATTAATATAATTATTTAAAACATTAAATAACAATTAGACTACTTTAGACTTAGTCAATAATGTAATGATAACTTGGCTTGAGAACTTTTGCAAAAAAGAATAGACAGCTTTTATTAACCAAATTAAAGGTAATTTTATTAATATTAATATCTTATTAATATACTGTATAATAAATAAAATACTAATAATAATTTTTTTTTAGGTGATAGTTGAAAAACAAAAAAAAAAATCAATTACTTTTCTATGCACTTTATAATTTTGCTTTAAATAATATTTTGTAAATCAAAATATTTTCTGATTAATATACTATATTATGATAGTCTTTTTTTGCAAAAAACTTTTCTGATATTCATATTGATTCACTTTTCGATACTTCAACTGCTCTATTTTTTTAAAACTTATAATACATATATTTTAAAATTTAGTAATTTTATACTATATTACTATAAATTTATTGTATGTAGTCATGAAATTAAATTAGATAATCATATGATAAAATTTTGCATTAATTTTAATTGCATATTAATTAATATAAATAACAACTTTTTTTAGTTATCTTCTTTTTAGAATCTTTGAATCTTTATACCAAAAATGGCACAAAAGTCAGATGCTTGTAAATATTGATATTTATTTTTATATAATAGGCTATATTGACTATTAACTTGAAAATTTCTCTTTTGTAGCTAAAAGAGTAACAAGAAGCACAAAAGCAAAGGTTACACAACAAGTGCAGAATATTTCAAGAACAAAAAGACAATGAACAACATGTCAAACAAAGATTAAAGGTATACTAATAGTTTTTTATTTTTAATAAAACAAAATAGTTTCTTATATTTGTAATAAAAAATAAGATTAATCTTTTAATTTTTCAAAAGAAAATATTAATATTAATCTAGAGGCACAAGAATTACAAGAACCACTTCAAAATAATAGTATCGAATCTTCAATATTTGCAACTAGTATTAAACCTTCAACATTAACAAATGTCACTAGATATTAATATAAAGTGCTATTACAAAATAACTCACCTTCATCTTATCGACAACACTCATGCTTACCTTCATTTCATCAACAACATTCATCCTTGCCTTTATCTCATCGACAATATCTACCTTCAATTCATCAACAATGTGTATGCTTACCTTTATCTCATTGACAATGCTCACACTCACCTTCATCTTATCAACATTGCTCACACTCACCTTTATCTCATCGACAATGCTCACACTCATCTTCATTTCATCAACAATGCTCATGCTCACCTTCATCTCATTGACAATGCTGACCTTCAATCTATCAACAACAATGCTTATCTTTTATTCATTAACAATGCTCACCTTCAATTAAATTAATTAAACCTAATAACTATATTGAGCAATATCAATAAATTAATATTGAAAAACAAGATCCAAAAGATCTTTTTTTTAAACAATCTAATAAATGCTCATATTTTCCATCTGCTAATAATGAAGATAAATCTTCAAAAGATGAATATCTTAATTCTATGATTTCTAAAGAACTATTATATTCTCTTTTAAATGTACCAAATACAAATTATATTAATTCTCATTTATCTAGTAAATCAAAAAATGGTCTCTTTTTTCAAGATAAAACACAACTTCTTTAATGATTAGAAACATGTAAAGATTTAGCATTACAGGCATTAAATTTAAATAATAATAATAATATATTATCCAACAAGGTTAGTTATAATTATTTACTTTATTACTTTATATAATATAAAATTATAAAATTTATAATTATAATTTTTATATCAATATATAATAGAATTCTTCAAGTGATACTGATACACCTAATTTGGCAAAGCTTCTTGCTGAACAATCTCATATTTTATTTTTGTGAACTAGAGTACCAACTAAAAGAACTTGTACTATATTAATAAAAACTGTTATTCCTAATATAGTTAATACACATCCAAAGTGGAATGAAGTTTTAGCTAAATTACAACAATTATTTAAAAATTTTCATAGTACTTACAATGATGAAATTGCTAAATTAGCAAGTCAATTAATTTGAAAAAAAAGATAAGGATTATTTTTTTTATTTTATTTATTATATATTAAAAAAACTACAAAATCTAATATTTAAAACTAATTAATTACAAAAATCCAAGTTTTAATGATATCAAACATTTCATTTCTGAATCAGTATAAAAAAAACCTCTTAAATGATATATTGATATACTTGACTACAATAGTTTTCAAGACAATCAAGATGAAGTTAATGCGTTAAAGATTTTTATAGCCAAAAGTCTTCAAATACATGTTGAATATTTGATAGCTGAATCTAATAGAGAAAGACTTATTATACTTCAATGATTTTAAATCATATTAAAGAATTAGATAATATTATAATTAATTTTACATTTTCTGCTGCAAGTTATTATCAATATGCGAATTAGCTAGAACTTAAAGAAGAAAAAGAAAATTTAAATTAATATAATGATTATATAATTCTTTATATTAATTAACATAAATATTCATATATATGGTTTTATTTTTTATTTATTTTTTTTTTAGTTAAAGTCCTTATCTTGGGAGTTGCGATGTTTTTATTCAAGTATATTAAGACATGGCATGCCACCAAGGGCTCACCTTATATTGGAGGTTACAACTAGCCACATGTGCACTTTTGGTACCTAATTTAAGTAGTCTACTTACATATTACTATATAAGTTCTACACTAGTTGTTATACCTGCAAGCCAACTAGGGGTCTTGCTTATTTAAACACTCTGCATATGCAATCCTTCTTGTATTATAGGAACATCTTAAGGCACTGCCCATCCAAGTTCCCGATGCTTATCGGTCTTCTTAGAACTACTTTATCCTCAATAGGAAACTTATTAGAGTCTTTATGTCTCACATATTTAGACCTAGTTTTATGCAACATGCTATAGTTACTTAACACTTGCAGTCACAGTGGTTACCTGTTTAACTGCTACTTTATACTATTTCTACTCTTGTAAAGTTCACTAGAACCCCAGTACCCATCTTTCTGGCATCTTCTCCATCATTCCTTACTAGCCGCAACTCAGAACTGTCAGTCTTATTCCAAACTACCAATCCAGATGGCCCAATATGGTATACTTCTGTATCCTTTTCCTCTGGTGAACCTGGCAGCCTGGTTGGTTATATGCTCCTTTACACATATTTGCTGTCCAGTTTTTAATCTTCGGTTCCTATAAAGGTGTTTCATGGACTTCAACCAGTCCAATGGTATCGTCAAAAGTTTATACTATCTCTTTACTCAGGAATTTCTAAGTAGGTTTTTGTTACCTTGGTTCCTTAGTCTTCTATACCTGGTGGACTTATCATGGGTTTGTACCAAAGTCTTATGCAACACCAGTTAACATTCCTTTATGTACATGTAACATTACACTTCGCATAAATGTCTTGAGCTCTTAAAGCCAAGGGAACCTAGCCTGGTATACCTGAGTAACAGCCACATAAGGCCAACTGATCGACAGAAGACAGTTACCATACTACAGATATAATTTCCAAATTTCATTGTAGGTGGGATTTGAACCTTAGATCTGCTACTTGGAGGATGACAACCCAACCACTACACTAGGATCACCATTCTCATATATATGTTTTTATAAATTAAATATTTATTATATTATGCTAATAAATACATTATATTATGCTAAAAAAATACATCATATTATATTTATAAATTGATT